ACGAGACCCAGCGCCCGACACCCCCCGCCCCCCCCAGTGCTGGGTCCCGACCCCTAGTTTAAAAGCCCCTGAGCGCTTGCAAAGCTCCCTGCATCTTGGGAAACGCCAGGTTCAGTGACTGGGCTAAGGGCCCTACACGTCCATGGCCGAGCTGGGGCCACGCTCCAGGCTGCCCGCGCTGTCGTACCTGGATCCGGAAAGATCCATGTTCGCCTGCAGCACCAGGTCCGTGATGCACTCATTGTCCTCGCCACAGTCCTTGAAGAAGTGGATCTGAAAGCAATGGGGGGAGGGGTGTCACTGTGGGCCACCAACGGGTCGATTACGAGGATCCCGGCTCACGGGTTTTTGCCCCTCCCCACTGCTCTTTCTCCCACAGAGCCTCCAGTCTGGGTGACGCACCCACAGGTCCCTCTGAGTCATAGACATTGAGGTCAGAAAGGATCAGCCCCTCTGTGCCTCAAGCCAGACCCACCCATCACCCCCACACTAAGCCCAGCAACTGAATATGGACCGAAGTGTTCCGGCTCACCGGAGACAAGAGGGTGAATTTGGAGCCACCCCCAGCCTAGAGGTGCACACACACAGTCTAGAACAGCGTTTCTTAACCTTTTTAAGACCAAGAAACACCAAACAAATGTTTTTATGAGGAACACCCAAGATTTTTTGTTGAGCAAAAAAAAAAAAGAAAGGCGGCCATTTTGAACTCTGTTGTTCTCCACAGCACACAGTTCCCTGGAAACACTGGTCTAGAACCACACGCACAATCCTGTGGTTCTAGATGGATCCATCTCCCCAGGGCACCTTCTAATGTTCGTTTCATCCTCCACATCTCTGTGTGTTAGGAGGCAACCTCCACTCCTTTCTGCTGCCCACAGGCTGCTGCAGAGAAGGAGGACAAGGGGGAATCCAAGAGACAGGATCCCGGCTGGCCAGGCCCACAATAGCTTGTCAAATGACCCGGAGCAAGGGGACCGGATGGGCCGAGCACGCACCAGTTTCTTAACCATGGTGGATGACCTCTCATCCAGCACCGGGCCTGGCTCAGAATCGTTCAGGGCAAATTTCACCATCATGCTGACAGGCCTCAGGTAGTCTGTGGTGTCCTGTGGGGAGAAAGGAAGCCAGGTTAGCTTTCAGGAAGGGGTTCCTGGCCATTCACTGTCTCCTGAGAAGGAGGCCAGCTTTGATGGAGACCTGCTGGACCTCATGCTTCACTTCCCACAATGCACTGTGGGACCTGAAGGGTCACTTTCCTCCTAAGCCTTCCGTGTTAGCCATCGCAGGAGGCCTTGTCTACACTGGCATGTTTTGTCACCAAAAACTGCCTTTTGCAGACAACACAGTGAGTGCGTTTACACTACAAAGCAACTTTTGTTGGGAAAAACACACAGTTTTGCAGACAAAAAACGTCCACCCATGTGAGAGACTTTTGTCTTTTCCCCTCCCTTTACTGTCGACAAAGAGTCAGGGTGGACTCTGCTGTTTGTTTTGTCGAGAAAACTGGCTTCCACCAGCATCCCACAGTGCCTGGCCTGATGGCTGTGCTCAGTGTTTTGTGATCTCTACTGCCCTGCAAGCATGCTCCCCCCTCCTCCCCTTTAAAGCTCCAGGAAGTATCTGACAGCTCATAGACTTTAAGGTCAGAAGGGACCATTATGATCATCTAGTCTGACCCCCTGCACAATGAAGGCCACAGAATCTCACCCACCCACTGGAATAATCCTCTCACCTATATCTCAGATATTGAAGCCTTCAAATAATTTAAAGAACCCAAGCTGCAGCTGAGGGAGCTGCTTCCTTTGGGGAACAAACGAAGAGGAAATCATTGGAATGATCTTGTTCTGCCCTGCTAGGAACACAGCGGCAGGCAGACGGCCGCTGCAGGGGGATGGCTGGAGAGACGGCTGAGAGAGACTGCCAAGGCTGGAAAGACTTCCTTGGCACGAAGAGCTCACAGAGCTACAAGGGAATCCCAAGGGGTGTGTCTAGACTGCAGGGTTTTTTTGGAAAAATTGCCGTTTTTCTGAAAAAAACTTCACTTAGGTCCACACTGCAATCGCGTTCTTTCGAAAGAAAATCAAAAGAACGCGTGGGTTTTTCTGACATTGGTAAACCTCATTCTACGAGGAAGAATGCCTTTTCCGAAAGATCTCTTGGAAGATCTCGTGGACGCAGAAGAGGGAGTTTTTTTGAAGACGAGACCTCCAGGAAAAAGCACAGGTGCCTTGGTGGCCATTCTGCCCATAGTCATTACAGCTTACATGCGAGAGAGCATCCAATGAGTATGGCCGGTCACTTTCGACAACGCAGATTGCTTTTTCGATGCACTTTTGCAGTGTGGACGCTCTCTTTCGGAAGAAGTTTTTCCGGAAGATCTCTTTTCTAGAGATCTTCTAAAGGTACCCAAGAAGTGCAGGGATTAGCTTGGCCTTCCCACCACAGTGCATTGTGGGATACGTACCCACATTGCTTTGCTCTAGCTGTCAATAGGGCGCTAGCAATGTGGCCATGACATGTTGACAATGGGAGGCAGACAAACTGGTTTGACCGGTTTTCACTTTTGGCAATTTTGCATGTTGACAGCACTTTGGTAGTCCAGCCTTCCCAGTGCAGACAGACCTGTAGCCTTAGCCGATGTCTCATCCAGATAACTAGAGGTGAGCTGCAGAGGGGAAATGACCTGCGACTGGCCCTTCTCTCCCTGCAGCTGGGATCAGAAGGGGCTGCCGGCAGGGCGTTTGCTGGGAACCAGGAACTTGTCGCTGCCATGGTCCAAAATAACCTACATTTGATGCTGCTGCAAAAGCCCCCCTAGAGCAGGGTTCTGGGGCGGGCTGGACTGAGAGCCTCGGTAGCTGGCTGAGCCCCTGTGAAAAACGGATGATTTCCAGGCTGCCGAGGGCTTAGGTTTAATTGTCCTTATTGCATAATTCATTATGCTAATGGGCTTGGAACGTAAGCCAGGCCTCATGACTATTTTAAATCTAAACCAAGCCCAAGTAAATAACTAATTCCCAGGAAAGGTAGCTCAAAGATGGGATCCGTTGCAGGAGGAAACCCAGCTAGAAAGAGAGATGCTCTGATCCTGAGGGGCAGGACAGCCCCCCCACCCCCATTGGGAAATAGGGGCAGGAGGTGGCATGTAGAGCAAGAAGGATCAGGCAGTCCTATGGGAGGCAGTGTGGTCTAGTGGGGAGAGCACCAGGCTAGGACACCTGCAGCTGCTACTGACCCTGGGCAAGATGCCGCGCCTCTCTGTGCCTCAGTTTCCCGCTCTTTAGACTGTCAGTTCTCAAAGGGCAGGGAGTGTCTCTGGCACTCTGTGGTGGGACAGCAGTCCAGACAGATGTGGCTGAGATCACTCGGCCCTACCTGGCTCAGGAACCAGCAGCAACGAAGCCATAGCTAGGTCCTGGCACTCGCCTGTGTTTGCCTGCAGATAACACCTTGCAGGGTAGCATAGCCTCAGGGTCTGCATGCAGCAGCGTGGCTGTTAGATGCGGTTGCAATCCTGGTGCTGTACAGCAGGAGGCAGGCTACGCCATCTCCAGCATCGGGTTGTGGCTCTCCTCTGAACCAAAGCCCCCTCCTCCCCATGCCCACCTTTACTCACGATCACATGGAAGGGGAGCGACTGGCAGGGGGCAGCCGCTTCTGCACCAGCTTCTGGGAGGTGGCGTCGAACACGGCCCTGGTGCTGAACTTCCTGTCGTCCAGAGACACGTTGTACCGGATGCTACGCCATCTCCAGCATCGGGTTGTGGCTCTCCTCTGAACCAAAGCCCCCTCCTCCCCATGCCCACCTTTACTCACGATCACATGGAAGGGGAGCGACTGGCAGGGGGCAGCCGCTTCTGCACCAGCTTCTGGGAGGTGGCGTCGAACACGGCCCTGGTGCTGAACTTCCTGTCGTCCAGAGACACGTTGTACCGGATGCGCCAACAAGCGGGGGGGGAGTCACTCAGGAGCCACGGCACCGCACTGCATCCGAAACCGGGGCGGGCGCCAGCACTCACCGAAATGCCGGTCCCCCCGGCCTGGGGAGCGGGAGGTTGCGCGGAAGCAGACGGTGGCCGTGATGCACACAGAGTCCTTTCCGTGTCTCTGGCAGTTCTTCTGGAGCACGTTGATGGAGGGGGGGTGGAAGGCCAGCGAGACGTTGACCTGGATGATCCTCCGTGACCTGGCCCCCGGGAAGCACACGTTCAAGGCCCTGGATCTCTGGGGCACCCCGAGGTCCCGCCGGGGCCAGCTCAGCCCTCCAGGCTGAGTCCGTTTGTCCAGCTGCACAGGAACCCAGTGCCCCTGGCACCCGGCACAGGGAACCAGACACTCGATCCTCTGTGCCCATCCCATCGAGGGTGCTCAGGTCACCTGAAGAGGCCTAATGTTGGGTGGAGCAGTCCCCCCAGGACTCATCCCTGCATTGGTGGCTTCCCTCCACACTCACCCCAGGCCTGTCATTAATTAAGGAAGTGTGGCCTAGTGATTAGAGCACGAGACACCCTCAGGCATCCTGGTTTCTATTTCCCAGCCCTGCCGCTGGTCTGCTGGGTGTTCTCAGGCAAACGCCTTTCCCTGCTAGGTGCCTCAGTTTCCCCAACTGTATAATGGGGATAAGGAACCTGTGCTCCTTTGGAAAGCACCGAGGCCATCTGCTGGTCTGACACACTTGTTACCAATCCTGCTGGTGCCCTCTGTGGTGGGGCATCGTGACTCACCGTAATACCACGGCGGCTCCCTGGGCCCCGACAGCCAAATCCACCAGCTGGTCCCCATCCAGGTCCATCTGTCCGACCACGCTGCGGCCAAAGTAGCTCAGACTCGGGTGGAGTGATGAGGCTTCGATCCGCTGGCAGGTAAGTGGGGAGTTAGTCAGAGGTGGAAAAATGGCCCGGGCACCAAAAGGCACAGACAGTTTTACATGGCCTCCTACGAGGTAGTGTGGCCTAGTGGTTAGAGCACTGTGCAGGGACTTAGTGGTTCTGGTCACTAAGGCTACATCTAGACCGTGGCGCTATTTAGGGATACCGGAAGTATCCCGAAATAGCTATTCTGCGTCTTTTGAGCGTGCCTGTTATTTTGAAATCGATTTCAAAACAACAGGCATGCTGGCCTCCCCGTAACCCTCATTCCACGAGGGTTAAGCGACATTTTGGAATAGCTGTTTATTTTGAAATCTGACGCTCTGTAGACAGTGCCAAATTTCGAAATAAGCTATTTTGAAATTAGATCGAGATAAGCGACGCAATTTGCTCAACACAAATTGCGTAGCTTATTCCTAGGTAAGGGTGCAGTGTAGCCGCACCCTAACCTGCTGGGTGACCTGAGTCAAGCCATTTCCCTGCCCTGTGCCTCAGTTTCCCCACCCATCCTTTGTCTCGCAAGAGCTTTGTGGGCAGGGACTCTCAGACTAGCTGCCCAGTACGATGGAATCCTATCTTCTTGACTCTCTGATGTAATAAGCCATTAGCACCAGCCCACAGGGGAACCAGTCTGGTTTTCAGGAAGGTGCTGGCTGTCGGCAGCTCTGATTTGTGCAAGGCACCGTACCAGTGCCCAGAGAGTCCTGAAGGCAGCTGTAAGCCCACTCACCCTCCTGGCCCAAGATCTCCAGCCAGGAAATCTCGGTGTCTCTGCCTGGCCAGAAGAATCCCTCCCTGTTGGTGCTTCTAACCCTGACGGGAAGGGACACGCCCACCTCTCAGGACACCCAAAACCTGCCCTGGCTGGACCAGACAGGTGTCCACATGATGGGCAGCCCCCCAACCCCCCTCTGGGCTGAGTCCAAGCACAGGAAAATCCTTCAAGTTTAAAGGATTTTGGTGCCATCTGCCACCAGGGGGCAGTGGAGCCATGCTCAAAACCCCACATGGCTCTTTATTCAGCCCTTCTAAGTGGGGTGGGGGGGCAACCCCACCCCCTGTGTAGTAGGTCCCAGGAGCCCTGATGCTCTCCTCCAGAAATCAGTGTGAGTTCTCGAGCATCTGGGCCCGGGTATTTAACACGGGAGGGGGTCCTGGGAATGTGTCGGGGCTGGCTGTGGGGAAAGGGTGCCTGTGAGGGGCACTGGAGCAGGTGGGCTTAAAGCGGAGGAGGGGAGACTGGGAGGCAGGACTCCTGGATTCTGCTCCCAGCAGCAGGAAGGAAGCAGAGGGGGGTGGGAGCGAGGAGCCCAAACTCTTGGGTTCTGTTCCCACCTCTGCCACTGATTCAGCCTATGGCCTGGGGCATGTCACTTCCCCTCCCTGTGCCTCAGTATCCCCAACAGGAAAATGGGGATGATCTGGGATACAGGGCCAAAAGTCATTAATTAATTAACATTAATGCATGGGAGTGTTGCACTTTGAGTTCCCCAGGGGCTAGTGATTGCTATAAATGACACATTACTATTAATCAGGGATGATCTAGGCAGTACTGGGTCCTGTCATGAGGGCAGAGGACTGGACTCGATGACCTCTCGAGGTCCCTTCCAGTCCTAGTATTCTATGATAACCCTCTGTTATTATCAGGAGTGAAAGCACTTGTTTACCGTAGGTCCTAGCGTAATGAAGGGATTGAGTTAGGAGCCATACACGTCTCTGGATCTAAATCTTCCTTAACAGGGCAGGATTTCTATAGCACTGTAGCCCAGGCCAGGCACCCCTGCCCCTCCAATAGCCCCACCCCCGCCCAAGGGACTGACCTGCTGGTACTGCGGCAGGATGGTGGTGCGGGAGCCGTGGTAGATGTATATGGCACCCTGGTGGCCATCCTCCAGGGGCGCTCCCACCACCACGTCGTTAAAGCCGTCGTGGTTGAGGTCGGGCACAGCAGCCAGAGCGTAACCGAGGCGGGAGTCCTGCGGCTTCTTGCCGGCACGCAGGGTCCCGTTGAACGTCAGGAGCCGCTGGGATGTGGGGAGGGAAGAGAAAGGCTCTTACTGCCCATCCAAGGTGAATTCAGCCCCTTTGTGCACCTGCCTGGCTCACGTCTACTGGGAGCCTTTGATCATGTCGCCCTCCAGTGGCTGGCCCTAGCAATTGCAACAGCCTACTACTTCCACGCAGCCAAGGGTTAGCTACACCTACATTGTCCTCATGCCACAGACGGGGGAAGGGGGCAGTTGCCCCGGGGCCCAGCGATTTAAAAGGGCCCAGGGCCCCCAGCCACCTGCCTTTAAACACTGCTGGAGCACTCTGGGCAACTCTGGGAGTGCAAAACCACCCCCCACCACCTTGCCCAGGGGCCCAGAAATTCTGTTGCCCCCTCCCCTGCCGTGCACCAGCTCAGCAGTGGTGGCAGGGCCACATCTAGAGGCTGATGGGCCTGCTACTAGAGCTGGCCTTTGAGCTCCGGACATAGAGGCCTGTGTTTTAAAATCTAGAGGCTCCAGGTTCAATTCCCCTCTGGTGACATCCAGGCCAGTGATCCCTGTCAGCTGTGCGCTTGTGCGGCCATTCAGGAGAGATTTAAAGGCTGCCCAGCTGATTGGCAGAGAGCCCACAGCTCCGTTTGTGTTTCTCCTGGTGGTGCACATGCATCGGTGCATGTAACAAAATTCATTCCTCGCTGGCAAAGATTCGAGGGATCCAGAGATGTGGTGTGCGACAGAGATCTGCAAGCTTGCATTCCTGTTCCTCCCCCTTGCAAACCAGGCAGCATCCTCTGTATAGACACGACCCTGGAACACACACCCAGGGAGCCAGGGTAGGCAGGCACTGTAAGGTACCTGGCCTACTTTGTAGATATAGACCCGGCCTGTTTCTTTGCTCTGAGCTCCCAGGTACATTGGGGCGGCGACCAGCAGGACGTCTGTGATTCCATCCCCATTCACGTCCACAGGACACACTTCGCTGCCGAAGTACGAGCCGATCTGCAGAGGGGGGAGGGAAGGGGCAAGGGTGGTGAGGAAGCAGTGAGCCCTCGTCTTCCTGCTTCCCCGGCATGCGCAGCGCCAGCCTGGATTTCCTCACTGCCCAGGCCCTGTCTGCACACAGACGGGGCACCAATTTCAGAAGAGGCTCCAAATGGGCTGACGCTGGAACCGGTGCCAGAAGCTGGGTAAATGCCCCGTGAAGTCAGACGGCAACTGGTTTGGAGCCAAAATGGACCCAGCGGCAGGGTGTCTGTCCCACAGTGGCACTTTAAGGGTTAAAACCCACCTGGCGCCACCAGCTGTGGCAGGTATCAGCCAATTAGGGCTCAGCTGAGGGCAGTATAAATAAAGGCTCCTGGCGTACAGGAAAGACAGGGACTCACCGTTGCTCTAGTGGCGGAGCAGGAGGGACCTGGCTGCCAGAGGCTTCCTGGCTTAGAGCAGGACTGGGGAAAGGCAGGTAGGGCTGGGGAGCTCTGGCCCGGCAAGCTTGAGATGACTAGGGCTGCAGAGAGGCAGGGCAGCAGAAGGCAGCAGGTCCACATCCCCTTGACAATGAGGAGTGGCCATGTCAGATGGCAGTTTGTCCCTGGATGCAGGGGCTAAATGATGACTGGCAGTGGATCACTGAGGCAAGGTGGCCACTCTAGGAGGACCCCAGAGTGTGGGGGCCCTGTGGCAGGGCAGTACCCAGAGGGAGGGTGTCACAGTCTGGGAGGGATGTGGATCCTAACACAGAGGTGGAGAAGGTAACAGCAGGCGTGACACCAGCTGAAAGGGGGCGCTCTGGTCTGGATGAAAATAATTCCCAGAGTGTCCAGCAGGTGGCATCCATGTCTGTGTGACAGGCGCCTACAGATTTCGCTAAAATCGGTTCCCAACAGATCAGTGTAAAACCTATTAAACCAGTTCCCGAGGTGGAGAAGGTAACAGCAGGCGTGACACCAGCTGAAAGGGGGCGCTCTGGTCTGGATGAAAATAATTCCCAGAGTGTCCAGCAGGCAGCGTCCATGGCCGTGTGACAGGCGCCTACAGATTTCGCTAAAATCGGTTCCCAACAGATCAGTGTAAAACCTGTTAAACCAGTTCCCCTGTTCTCCTGGGCTGTGTCTACACTGGCCAGGTATTC